GGCTCGGAGCTGACTGCCACTCAGCCTGGGTGGCGGCGTGCGGAGGGCTCGTGATGTCCTTGCTGTCCTGGGTGTGTGTTAACTGTGTCCCAGGGCACAGAGGGAGACAGCCACGTCTGAACCGAGAGCTGCTTCCAGGTCCCCGTGGGCTGCGTGGAGGGCATTGTCCGCTTTTCCCTGGAGAGCGCAGGCGGCTGTGATCAGGCACTCCTCCCAGCAGAGCCCGCGCCTGGCCCCGAGCCAGCCTGGGCTGCCGCACAGCATATAGCATACAGCGGCGCTGTCTCGCGGGGCACGCGCTTGCCCTCGGCAGCCTTATCTCGCCCCGGAGGATGGGGCTGCAGGGCTGGGGAGGAGCGCCGCTTCTAGGCCAGACTGGTCCGCTTTGGTCGGGGAGGGCCGGCGGCTCCCAGCTTGTGGATTGAGTGCTGAGCCGCGCGTGGTTCTCTGCCACGTCTCAGTGGGCTCCTTTCCGCCGTCTCAGGGGCGTAGCTCTGCGAGCTGTGCCAGCGGCAGGTCAAGGCAGTCTGGTTTCCAGGAAACACACAGCTGCCCTGAGGAAAGGAGGCCGGGCGGGGCCGTCCTTGGGAGAGGGTTCCACGGCCCGTGCCTTCCTGGCTGGCTGGTCGTGGTTGTGTCCCCAGGGCTCGCTGCCGGGTCTCCTCGCCTGCAGCTGTCCCAGCTCTCGCTGCCTAGACTTGGCACCGGTGCTTTATCCCCGTTGCCTGGAGGGTCTTTTCTTTGTGTCAGGGGCCAGAGGGTGCACGCCAGAGTGGGGCCCTGGACCCACAGCTCCTGCACCCCTGCAGCAGGTTCGGCTCTGCGCTCCCAGCCCGCCAGGAGATGAGAGCAATGGTCCTTCAGCGGTGCTGTTCCACTCTCTGGTGTGACCTTGCAGCGCCCCTTCCCCACTCACCTGTTGGGCGCTCTCCGCCACCTGTTCTTCCTCGTAGTCCTCCTCGGTGGGCACAGCTGGAAGCCGCTCAGGGAGGCGAGGGGCAGTGAGGACCTGCACAGTCCCAAGAGCCACCCAGTGATGTCAGTTGGCGACCGTCGTGGAAAGCGCGCGTCAGCAGTGTCACTGCTCCATGAGCTGGCTGTGTGACGTTGGCCTATGGGACGGGAGGGTTCTCACATGGCAGTTCCCACCGTTCTGAGAGAGCCCGCCTCCGCTTCCTCCAGGGGCTCTTTCCAAATGGAATTGTTGTGTTAGAAACGGGGCAGAGGGCCAGCAGGTGGCACACTGTGAAGACGCTGGACTCCTACGTGGCAAGCCGCAGTTCGAGTCCTGGACCCAGCGGCTTGGCACTCCTACCAGAAGCATGCGTGTGCATGTCCAAAGTCCCGAGAGGAGAGTGGAGGAGAGGGACTATGGCGTGGCCATCCCCCTGGGGTGACCTCTCGCTTTTTTCTCTGTGTCTCTAGTGAGCTCATGAGCCCTATAAGCAAAATTCTCCTGTAAAAAAAAAAGTGGGGGGACCAACAGATGGTGTAGGGGCTACATTGCTGGACTCCCACGTAGTCGACTGCAGTTTGAGCCCCGGACCCGGTGGCTACAAATCGCACGCTGGTCTCGTGTGTGTGTTTTTCCAAGATCCCCAGAGGAGAATGGAGGAGAAGGGATTGTGGCGTGGTCATCCCCCCGGGGGGTGATTTCTCGCTTTCTGTCTCTCTGTCTCTCTCTCTCTCTGTCTGGTGAGCGCGTGCGCCCTGTAGCAAAAACCTCTCAAAAAAGAAGTGGGAAGAGTGCCGCCCCGCAGGGTTGCAGCAGGGGCGTGAGGGCAGCCCGCGCACCGCGAGCGGGACGGGCCTGGGCAGTCTCTCCTTCAGTTTGCTGTCCGTGCCTACATAAGCGTCTTAAAATGCTGTTTGTATGTTGTGTGTTTTCCATTTTAGTATAGGAGAAGTGATGATGGAGACCCAGCTGTCGTTGTGGAAAAGGACCACTTCATGGATGGTTTCTTCCGTCAGGTAGGGTGGTTCACTGAAACCCAGCCGTGTTGTCGTCGTAGCTGTCCCGTCCAGTAATACCAGAACCAGTTTCTAAGCTGCTCCTTGCCATGTAAGTGCTATGAGGTTTTCCAGTGCATCACGGTGTTACCCATATTTAAAATTCCCCAGTCCCTTTGCGGTGACCAGCTGGGAGGGAGTGGGTGGGAGTGTGAGCCGTGGGGCCCAGACACAGGATGTGGTGGGACCTCGTCCCCAGTTCCTACCCATAGTCTTCTTCCCATATGAGGTGACAGCCCCGGGCCAGGGGTCCAGACTGAGCCCCTCTGGCCGTCGCTCAGTCCCAGGGCCTCCCGAAGGCCCCAGCCCAGCCCACCTGGGTGAATCTTGCTCAAGAAGCACGAGGAATTTTGAAACAAATACTGGGTAGTTTAGGCCACTTGGAGGTTGAAGGCCACTGACTGGGAGCGCGGCTGTGGTGAGCTGTGAGCACGTTGCCATCAGCGGGGTCTGCAGGCCGGATGCGCCGCCCAACCGCTGACCGCACGGAGTCCCGTGTGAGAGGTGACACGCTCCTGGTGGCGCCCCTGCTCATGCCTGGGCTGGGCTGTACACGTGGTCGCTTCCATAATTTCTGCTGGCAATGGCTGGCTGGTGCCACCTCGGTCGTAAAGGTAGGAGTACCCATGTGTGCATTCCTTTGTGTTTCTTTCTGAATAATTATTTAATTTTATGTATTCATTCATTTGTTTTAATTTGACCGGAGAGAGAGAGAGAGAGAGAGAGAGAGAGAAAAGCAAACCACCAGGTCTGAGACTCGACCCGTGGTCGGCCATGTGGGAGTGTCAGCGCCTTGACCACCAAGCCACTTGCTGGCTCTTCTCTGTGTTTTTTTAGTTAAATGATATAATGTGGGATTAGGAAGGGCTTTTTTCCTTTTTCATCATTTTTATTTTGTATTTTAATAATTATTGTACTTATATTTTTAAAACAAATTTACTGTATTCATTACTACGTTTTAAATTTGACTAGTGAGAGGGAAGGTGAGAGACTGAGCCCAGGTCTGGGACTCACACTGCGGCTGGCGATGTGGCAGGTCCATTGCCTGTAAGTGCCACACCTGCCAGCAGCCCCCTGGTTTGTTTGTTTAAGAGAGATTTCTGCTGTAGGGTGTGTGTGCTTACCAGAGAGACAGAGTGATACAGAGAAACAAAGTGAGAAATCACCCCCAGGGAGGATGGCCACACTACAATCCCTTCTCCTCGGAATTCTGTTCTCGGAATTTTGGGCATGTACACACGTGTTCCTGGCATGAGTTTTAAGCCACCAGGTCTAGGACTTGAACTGTAGTGGACCATATGGGCGTCTAGCGACATAACCATTACACCATCTGCTGGTCCTTTGTTTTTCTTCTTAGTTTTGCTGGGGGTTTGTGCATTTGCTGGAGAGAAGGACAGAGGAGTGAAAGTGAGAAATCGCCCCCGCAGGGGGATGGCCACACCACAGCCCTTTCTCTTTCATCCCCCTGTAGGGATCTGGGGACACACGACATGTGCCTGGTGTGTCTTCCAAGCTTCAGGGTCCAGGACTCGAACCATCTAGTTAGCCATGTGGGATCCGGCTGCCTTACCCACCGTGCAGCCAGCTGGCCCAAGGCTTGGCTTTTCTTTATGTGGTAATGTGTTTTCTGGTCTCCTTCACCCTTCCCTTTGAATAATTGCTGAAGGTTTGTGTGCTTGCCAGAGAGAGACAGAAAGATTTGGGGAGAGGGAGGAAGCACCCGCTGGGCGTGGTCACGGCCTAGCCCTCCTCCCTCTCCTCGGTCCTGTCGGGATTTCAGGCACACGCACCTCTGCTCAGCACCTGCAGCGTTCTCCAAGCCTCTGGGCAGGACTCAAACAGTCGCGGGCTACGTGGGGTCCGGCCCCCAAACCACCGGGCTGCGGGCCACCTTGTCCCTGTCTCGGTGACGAACGGTGGCGGCAGATGGGGACCTGCGCCGGGTGACTCTGTGTGCCTCCTAGGTAGAGGAGATCAGAGACAGCATCGCTAAAATCGCTCAGTATGTTGAAGAGGTGAAGAAAAACCACAGCATCATTCTTTCTGCTCCCAACCCAGAAGGAAGTAAGTCGCTGGCTTTAAACAAGGGTTGCGTGTCTGTCTTCCCTCCCCTCCGCTCCAGTCCTTTCTAAAAAGAGGGTGGCTGCAGACAGTCGGAATCCCAGGCCCAGCCGAGCGCGGTCCAGCCCGCGGGAGCACGAGATGCCATCTTAGAGGTGACACACAGCTGAGTCACTGTGGGGGAACGGAGGCTGTTTTCATTACGAGGTTTTATAGTGTTTTTTATTTAATTGCCAGAGGGTGCATATGCTTGCCAGAGAGACAGGCAGAGAGAGAGAGAGCGCCCCCTGGTGGAGTGTCGTCACCCCGCGGTGGTGTTTGCTCCATCTCTCCATCCTGTCAGAATTCGGGGCACACATGCACAAGTGCCTGATGTGTCTCCCTCTGCCGGGGCCAGGACGCAGACTGGCTGGCCGTGTGGGGTCTGGCTGTCAGTGCACGGGGCTTACCGCTGCACTGCAGGGCCAGCTCTGGGCATCACGCTTCTTTCCGATCACGAGTCCTAGCCTTTCCTGACGTCCGTTTGGGGTTCTGTTCCATGCTGCAGTGACAGCTGTCGTGTGCCTTTCTCCTCGTCCCACTGTCACTGTCCTGGGCTCGTCCTGTCCCTGTTGGGTGGCTGCATCCTGATTTCCTCCCCATCTCCACTGCCTGCTCTTACATTTGGTGCTTTCTGCTGTAGTTTCACCCTTGGCACGTGTTTGAGACCCTTTATGGTTGTAGTTACCTGCGTAGGAGAGGAAGCTGCCCGGCATGAGCGTGGGCCAGTCCTGGCTCCACTGCCTCCCCGTGGGAGAGCCAGGGCAGACTGCCTCATGGTTCCTGCGTCTGTTCCCATACCCTGCTGCTGGCCCTTGGGGTTAAAATGCATGGTCTTAGAATTTGGGGCACTCGTGCACATGTGCCTGCTGTGTTTCAAGCTTCCAGGTGTAGGATTTGAACCACAGTTGGTCATGTGGGAGTCCAGTGCCTTCACTGCTACCCCACCTGCTGGCCCATCTCTATTTCACTCTGAAGTTTTCTCTCTGACAGCCCTGACCTCTCTTTAGTTATTGTCTTTCAGATCCGGAATCTTTTATCACCCACTAAGTTATCTTTGGATTGGTTTTCACTCCTGGAACTTTATTTAGTTTCTTTTCATACTTTTTTGTTTTCCTTTTTGCCATAGGGCACGCGTATTTGCTGGAGATGGAACATACGCGCACACACATGTTCCAAGGGTCTGTGAGGAGTCACCGCCTGGGGCATGGCCATGCTGCTTTCCCCCCTCCAGTTTCCTCTGAGGATTTTAGGCGTGCGCGCACACACACACACACCTGGTTTATTTTTCTAACCCACTGGGACCAGGATTCAAACTGTACAGTTGGCCCTGTGGGGTCCAGCCACCTTAATCACTGTGCCACCTGCTTGTCATACTGTTGTTCACATGATAAAATTTATAAGGTTCCATTTTATCTCATTGAGCATTGGCTTTTTTGTTGTTTGTTTGTGGAGAGATTTTTTTGCTATGGGGTAAGAGAGAGACAAAGAGATAGAAAGTGAGAAATCATTCCCCAGGGGGGATGGCCATGCTACAGTCCCTTCTCCATTCTCGTCTTGGAATTTTGGGCACACATGCACACATACCCGGTGTGAGTTTTAAGCCTCCAAGGTCGGACTTGCACTGCAGTCAGCTACATGGGAGTCCGGCAGTGTCACCATCACGCCCTGCTGGCCCCGAGCATAGCCATGTCAACATGTGACAGCTGTCACCTGGCACTGCTGTAATGTCGTCTCTGGTTTCTTGGCCTTCACTCCTACTTTCTTACCGTTGGGTATTTTTGAGCACTGAACTCTGTGTATTCAGTGATTTCGTCATCAGTCCAATAAGCCGGCCTTCTCAGACCAAGTGTGTACCAGCCACCTGGGGGGCTGGGCTTCTGACCGAGCAGGTGCTCCTGAAGCTGCCGTGCAGGGCCCCAAGAGCCACTGTCTCCGCGGCCTCACGGTCACCAGGGCCGCGTCTCGTTTGGGTCTGAGGGACACATTTAGCCCGGGTGTTACGGCTCATGCCTTCCTTTATGTTTTTAAAGAAATCAAAGAGGAGCTTGAAGACCTGAACAAAGAAATCAAGAAAGCTGCTAATAAAATCCGAGCCAAGTTAAAGGGTGAGTTTCAAGGTTTCTGTTTAATTACTGTGTGGGAATATGGGTATCTGGTGTTTTCTTCTTTGTAGCTCTGTAGGAACATTTTCATTACAGCCGAGACACTAATTTGTGCGCATCTTGCACACATGTGACGGGAGCAAGCTTTCGCTAGTGAGCTGTTGCCTCGTTACAGTGTTACTTCATTTCATTGCCGGCCGACCTGAAGCTGTGTGAGAAGGTGAACGGCCTATGAGATGGATTTTCCAGCGCTTGAGTCGCTGTTTTATTGGGCTGTCGGGGAGGTTCTGACACGTTTTTGCATAGAAAAATAGCTTGACCTGCCCCATGATCTACTAGCTGGTGGTTTGCTTTTTTTCGATAAGTTACTTTTTACTGAACAGCGTTGAAATCAAGAGCAGACTCCACGAGATAGTGGGTGCTTCTGTTACGGGATGTGCCAGGTGTGTGGAGGCAGGGTCTCTCCACTGCGTCCGCCCTCAGCTCGGCAACCCACCGCGATTTGACGGGGCAGAGACTGCTCGCCAAAGGCTTGCCCAGAGCACAGCCGTGATCGTATCTAGGCTGAGTCAGTCACAGCGCGTAAGGCTGTAAAACCTCCCGTCAGAGTTCCTGGGCCGGCAGGTCGCGGTTTTGTGCCTGTTTGCGTGGACTGGGTCCCAGGTGAGGTCTGTGTGCCGGGACCAGCTGGCGAGCTGGAAAGCTCCTGCCATCACACCTCGCTCTGGGTCGGAGCACCCGTCCTCCATCCGCAGAAGCTGCCCCAGCAGATCCTGCCGCGCCCAGGCGGGCACAGCCCTCCGTGTGGTCCAGTTCGGGCAGGCCGGCTCTGTGATGCCTCTGTGCGGTCTGGTTAGGGCAGGCGGGCCCCGTGGGCAGGGCCGAGCCAGCGGCCCTCCGCGTGGTGGGGTCGGGCAGGCGGGCTCCGTGGTCAAGGGCCGAGCAAGCGGCCCTCTGTGTGGTGGGGTCGGGCAGCTGGGCCCCATAGGCAGGCGGGCCCCGTGGGCAGGCAGGCTCTGTGGGCAGGGCCAAGTCAGTGGCCCTCCGCGTAGTGGGTTCGGGCAGGCGGACTCCGTGGGCAGGGCCAAGCCAGCGGCCCTCCATGTGGTGGGGGCCGGCAGGGGGGCCCC